GGGCTGGGGATTCAAACCCGCCACTTTAGGTGTATGTGGCTGGCGACTTAGCTGCTTGAGCCATAGGCGCCGAGCCAACATTTTTTTTTTTGAGGTTGGTTAGGCAAGCAGGTTCTGCCTTCTAGTAGCAGCTTTAAACTATAAGTAAACAAACTTTAGACAGAATGTGCTTACCTGAACTTTACAAGCATTATATGCCTCATTTGTTGCAAAATATGAATTATATCTTCTTCCAGAGTATCGGGCCCACAGATCTTGATACAATTTATTTTAATAGTTACAGTTGTTAGTTTCTCTTTTTCCTGAGAGGGATAGCCATTCATTTTATGGTTACTCATAAGGGAATTTTAGGCCTATACAGGGGAAACTAAACCAGGGCCTCCAAAAAAACAAAAAACAAAAAAACTTGCTGCACAATTTAAATGTGTCCAAATGCACAAAGTTGAATATTGTTCTGAGAGGGCAGATTGCTGTTGCTCAGTAGTCTTTCAAACATAGACAAGCAGAGAATTGTGCTCCAAGTGTTATTAATAGTACCCAGTCCCAAAATGGGTTTGCTCTAGCCTGGGTACTACAGAGGGCTATGGCCGTTCCACCTGCCAGGAAACACATAAGGCACCTTCTCAGCCTGTCTCCTTACTAAGGGGAAGACCAGTTATTTTCTGCTTGAAACACTTCCTCCTTTATGCATTTAATAGTCTCCTGCTGCACAAAACATAACTTTTGTTTCCTTTACCATTTCATTTGCAAGCTTTAATCCTTTCTGTACTACAGCCTCACTGACCCATTTTAGAGTGCTTGTTAGCCTCTTGTGTTTGGCCTTAGTTACATGTTAGTTTTTCTATTATTTGAATGACCTATGCATATACACTTGTTTAGGGTTTAGGGATGGGACAAAAGTTACACCTACATGCCAGTGCTGACATCTGCTGATCAGGAGCATTATACTGAAGAATCAAGGGCCCCATCCAGGCCCAAAGTATAAAAGTCTGCACACAGTTGGAAGGTATGTGTGGAGTGTTGGCAAACATTTGCCTATGACTTTTTCCTTTTGGTATTGGCATCTGTTGTGGTAACAGCAGAGAGAAAGTGTGTCAGATTCATTACACCTGTGTATAGACTCCTAAAGACTTCTAGAAGTGTCATTCACACATTTTATTGGCCAGATTAAGTTGTGGCTGTACCTAACAGCCAGTTGTATTTTTAAGAGTCCTCTTGCCTTTCAGAATCTTCTTGCAGAGGAATGGGGTGAATTTCCTCTGAATTCTTTGAAGTACCTTGCTTTAAAATCTAGGGATGTATTTATGTTCAGGTTACTCTCTTCTCCCTTATTACTAAGACCAGATGTACCAATAAGACTAGGCTGGGTTTTACGGTGATAGTAACACCAACTTTCTGAGTTTAAAAACCACAAAGTTTACTTTGTGTTCACATCGAGTCAGTCTGGGAGCTTTGTTCCCTAGTGTTCTTTTTCTGGGACTTGGGCCAACAGAAAAGGCCTCATTTTGAGTGTTATCAGTCTTCCTAGCAGAGGAAAAGTGTGTCATGATTCGTAACACACTGACTCTTGAAACCCCCCAGAAGTTACACATGCCACTTTGCACATTTCGTGGACCAGATGAAACCATGCCCATACCTGACTCAAGGAAGTGGGAAGTATAATTTTAACATATGGAGAACTAGAAACATTTGAAAAACCATCCCCTGGCAGGAAATATTCCCCTTCCTGCATGTAGCTCATCCTTGACCTTTCCCAGTGGAGATAATCCAAAAATCCCATGCAGTCACTGTGTGAGCATAAAGTTCAGGATCTCTGAGAAATGCCCAGTAGTGGTAGGATCTTTACTGGTCTAGACACAAGTCCTGTCTCCCACCCCATAGGGGAGTGGTAAGATGTAATTCTAAGTGTTCCCATTTAGAGAGGGGAAGAATGAAACACACATGTCAGACTCTAGACTATAGCAATCTGCAGTTGAAATCTCTCTGGGAAGATGGTGCCAGGGCTCTAATCTGTTTTGGGTTCTCTAGGCCAGTTTAAAAAACATAGACAACTTGGGCGGTGCCTGTGGCTTGAAGGGCACCGGCCCCATATACTGGAGGTGGCTGGTTCAAACCCGGCCCTGGCCAAAAACTGCAAAAAAAAAAAAAAAAAGTATACTATTTGAAGAATCAGATGGTTTCTGTGCTCATGGCTTTAGAAGTCCCCTTGGCGCCCTCCTCCCCCATCCCTGTTTCTTTTTCCTCACAGGCAGTTACTTTCAACAGCTCACTGTTTGTTTTGGCCTTGACCTTCTTATTTCCAATAAACTTGGTTTTTTGTCTTGAGAAAGGTGAAGATTTAGTTCTTTCATTCTCTTTCCTACCCCAACTGCTTGTTCCCTTATTTTCTGTTTCCTCATCCTCTCACCTGTGGTTATGGTTTTGATTAATTATTCAGTGTTTATTTCTTTATGAAGACATAAATTTTATTTCTAGGTGACCCATGCTGTACTCTCTGCTTGAAGTAATTTTTAAAATAATCAACTGTTAACAAAGATGGAACAAACCAAAGATTACTACTGATCTCTGAACATGGGTAAGAATGATCAGGAGCGTCTCTAACTGACCGAAGGCACAGCGTTTTCACATAGGTAATCTCATTTGTCTAATGGGTAGAAGGTGTGGGAGAGTTAGCATTGAATGTGCAGCTTGCTGCTACAAAGCACATTCTAGGGGACAAGACGTGTTAATACTTACATCCAACTTAGTATCAAAATAATTGAGTTGTAACCTGAGGGCCAGAGAAAATGATACTTTTATATATGAATTTTTCAATTGTGCTTTTACTTAATGTTTTACAGTTTAATTAGGTTATATTTACTTTATATATAGTAATGAGTGTTATGTACTTATTCTCTTAGTCTTGGAAATGCATGCAGTGGATGACCTATTTTAAAACATCTCCATTAATTTAAAGTGGCTTTAAAATAGCCTGGTTTAAAATGGTTATAATGTATAATCAATTTTAATGTCAAGGATACCCCTTAATTATATCATTAAAATTACATTTTTATATACCTCTCACAGTTCTCACTCCTCATTTTCCTTGGAATTTTTGAACTCTTGACTCCTTACAAATTGGCAGATTTGTTCACTGTTTGATATATATTAGCTCTAATGAACAGAATTATTAGACAGTTATCAATAAGTAATTAGCTCCTTTTGTAGGAATACCTGCTTGTTAAGGAGAAGTATTAAATTCTTCTTGATTATATTGAATGGCCATAGTAAATATCCAGTTTAACAGGATTTTTCTATAAATTTTTATTCTTTTGTCATTTTATTCATTACTGAAAAATTCTACCCTTATCCATCTGTGTATATGAAAATTTTTTTTTCTATTTTTCCCTATTGCCTATTTTGAGATAGTGATCTTGCATTTGAAAGATAATGAGTCTTACTTGAAATTAAGAAAAAAGTTAAACTTCTCATCTGTACCTGTGGATATGTCTTTTCCTCTAGAAATACGATATTTGTATATTACACTAATTTTCCTAAGCTACCTGTTTTGTAAGCTAAATAACATAGATCATCAGTGGAATAATAACTTGAAGTTGCCTAAGAAAAAAGTGAAAGCAGCAAAATAGAAAACACAGAGAATTGACACCAGAGGGGAGGGCAGTAGGGGTGCAGGGAGGAGTCAGGGAGGAGGGTCTCTGTGCAGAATCTGAGCTGGGGACAGAAGGTCACATTGAAGTGTGAGTTGAAAAGGTATTACATTTCTAAGCAGTATAAAGCAATCTAACGCTTAAACATTACAAATGTGTATATGTATTGAGAAGGAATGTTCTTAGTTATAACAGGTGTCTTCTAGGGGACTTAAAGTACAAAGAAACTAGACATACTGGACATATTTTGGATATCTCCTATTTTACTGATATTAAGTAACTATTTGAATATTTATTGTAAATCAGCTATCAATAGACAAAGGTAAAATGACCACTTTAAAAGATGGATTGGATAATGTTTGAGAATTTTAGAACCCTTAAAACTGACAAGTAGCTTAATATACTCCAGTAAATATCTTTCAAATTTGAGGTACTTAGTTTTTTGGGGGTCTCTTTGCTATCTTTGTAAGTATCAAAACAAATCAGTAGTATTGTCAAATCAGCATTTTTATTTTATTTTATTTTTTGAGACAAAGTCTTACTATATCGCCCTCAGTAGAGTGTCGTGGAGTCACAGCTCATAGTAACTTCAAACTCCTGGGCTTAAGCGATTCTCTTGCCTCAGCCTCCCAAGTACCTGGGACTACAGGCACCCACCACAATGTCCAGCTATTTTTTTGGTTGCTGTTGTTTAGCTGGCCTGGGCTGGGTTGGAACCTGCCCTCTTCCCTGTATGTGGCTGGCACCGTAATCACTGTAGTATGACGCCGAGCCAAATCAGCGTTTTTCTATGAGAGTTGTCTGGACGGTACCAGCCATAGTACATGAAAAGTAGTATTAGCAGTGGCTGGATACTTTTCGGAAAGCCTTCATATATCCTCTCTCCCTCAGACTTTCACTAGAAAATCAAATAATGTAAGTAATAACTTTTCTTTTTGTAGGTTTTACTTCACTGATTGATTTTTCAAATGTGGTGAACACCTACTCTGTGCCAAGTGTCGTCCTGGGCAGCAGAACACCGCAGTGAACAGAGCAGACCAGCACCTGCTGGCGGGAGTGCGCCGCGGCCGTGATGTCTTCCAGCTGCCGTGTGTTTGGGGCGGGGATTTGTTTTGTCATAACATGCATTTTTTGCAAGTCAATGGCAAACTCTCTACCAGAACTAAGTCCTCAGAAATATTTCGATACATTGCAGCCAGGAAAAGCCTCTTTAGCTTATTTTTGTCAAACTGGTAAGTATTTTTTAAAACCTAGTATGATTTTTGTGATGTCTGGATTGCTGTTTGGTCAGTAAGCTCAGTAGCAACTTAATGTCAGGATCATTACGAGTTGGAAAGCTGTTCCTATGATCTGCCTGCCTGGGGTTGAGTCTGGACTCTGCCGCTTGGCCTGTGGTGTGACCTATATGTCCTCTCATCACTTATTAAGAGACAGCCGTACTTTTTAAGTTTGTTGTGAGCATTAAATAAATATACTTACAATGTACTTACTGTATAGTAAATACTAGATAGCTACTGACATAACATCTGAATTTCATCTGGTCATTTCTGGAAGTAGGCTTTCTCATGTTCTTAGCATGTAAATATTTTAAAATTTTTAAAAGAACTTTAACTGTGGCTTGGCGCCTGTGGCTCAAGCGGCTAAGGCGCCAGCCACATACACCTAAGGTGGCGGGTTCGAATCCCCA